TTTATAATTATAGAAGAAATATAGCTGATGGATTCGCTAAATTGTAACAGTATATGCTCATCTTATTATTGATAATTGAAAATATGGAAATCGAGATTGATAGATGTTCGACAGAAAAAGATAATTCAAAGATGGTTTGAACGATATTGATGCTGATTCGATACTGATTATAATTTCTTATCCTAGTTAAAATTCAGAAAGTATTTCGGTCGGTTTCAAAGAAAAAGGAAGTGGAGGATGTGAGCTACTAATAATACAGAAAGTGACATAGTCTAGACGTCTAGAGGGATCGACGTTCAGTTAACAGAAACTGTAGGGGTTCCACTATTACTACCTAGATATTATAACGTGTTTAGAAATACATTAAAAAAGGCAATTAAGTAATAAACCTAAGCTCTTCGAAAATTCAACAAAGGAAGGTGCACAACAATAGATTTTATGATGAACTACAACGACAAAGAAATTGTAAAATTAAACACAAAAGAAATCTTGAAATATATCAGAATGTATACACTGAAATTTCGAAGTAAGCATTGAATTCAATCTAAAGATGAAAAAGCACATTAATTAATTCGTTGTATAAATGGTACCGGAAATGTACGATATCAGCCTGTCGTTTTGTTGCCTATTTAATATTACCTGTAATACACTTCCGATTGCTATTTAGAAAATGTATAGATTTCCTAGGAAATGTCTTTAATATAATTTATTTCACCCATTTCCGGGCGACTTTAGGAATAACATACATTTCCTAGGAATTGTAGAAAGTGTTACTGAGCCGTACTTTCGACATCCAGGATATTTTCTTTTTATAAGAATCTTGGATTAAAAATCTATTTCGACTGAATAATCAGAACAATTGCAATGAAATGGGTGGATTTAAAATGTCCATATTTGGGTGTATAATTGTTGAGTGTACATACGTACATTCTAATGACATGTAATAAAACCCTTACATTTTTTATTTATTGTAAACAAACCGGATTAACTTGCTTCGCTCAAGAAAAATTAGTTATTCGGGAATGTTCTCGAACCTGCTAAAAGGGCATTCAAGACAAATCTATGGCATTCTGTAACGTTCTGACAAGACGTCGAAACTCAATTGACACCTTTCAACTTTAGGGTGTTTAATTCCCATCAGCCACTAATGCTGGTGGGCAGGCAGTCCCTTCAGACTACGCCGGAAGATAGGGCGGAAGACCCTCTTCAACCTCCTTTCAGGAATCGTGGGAATGGGTGGGTGGCGGTTCGGGTGAGAAAGATGAGACGGACGAAATGAAGACAGAAGAGAATGAAAGATTATCTGTGAAATATTACTGCCCCAGTATTTGCCTATTTAAGTGATCCAAGGAAACCATATAAAAATTTGGACCAAAGCTGACGAACCGGGAATCGAACCGGCGTCCTCCCGAATGCAAACTAATGGGTAAACCTGAAGGCCATGCCGCTCGGTTATCACTTTTACTGATGAATTTTTTTATATATGGAGCCTTTTGGGACGATAGTCTTTTAACCCCCATATGTTTGGAACCAACCCCTGCAGTTAAAAATCAATATTTTCGTGGACAGGGTCTGGAAGACTGTCATGCAGTAAAAACCCTCATGAGGCTGCGGAATTCTATTGCAGCTTTAATGGCATGTAGTTACGGACAAACTGCACTCTTCCCTTCATTATACATACATGTTGATACATTGATTACATATACACTTATTAGTTATGTATCTTTCATATCATTGAGTATGTTACGGAATGTTAGTTTCAATAATGTCTCGTACTTTGACAAGAGACCGTTCTTAGCATTTCTTGTCGTAAATCGTGAGCAACTCGAGCGAGCTAAAATCAATATATCTTCATTGCTATGGAACGTGAACAATAGGAATTCCGGGAATTTCCTATTTCTTGTACGAAACGGTTTTCTGAACTATTAATCACTTGGATTGTAAAAAGGGTGGTGTGTTTATCTTTCTGTGCAATACTGAACTGCACGTATCCATTCGAAAACACAACTGTCATACGCTAGCCAAAGCAATGACAAAAACAATTCAGTATTTGTACTAATAATGCTTTTATTTGATCGATAATCGGCTTAGATCTGGACCGCGGTCAGCTCATTGCTATTGCTAACCGTTGAACTAAGCATTTGGAATTTAGATACATAAATGTCTATGCAGAATGTAGTGGTTGTGTTGGATACACAAATTAATATTTATAAAGTATTGTGAGATTGATTATTGTAGTAATGCTTAAAACAATAGAACATTTTGATATAAATTGAAAATTTTGAGGTCATGCGTGCCAAATTTTTTATACGCCGCTAAACACAGATGCTACTGTAAAATTGGCAACTACAGGAAACAGAAGCAGTGAAAGAAAATTCAAATTTATTGCGAATCAATTAAACGAAATTTGTTTAGAACGACGGCGTCGACTGTAATAATTCTCCTGAATTTTAAAAGAATTCTAGACATTTTTCAACAAAAGTCAAGGTTGGTGTCAGGATTTTAGAGCGTTGTTAGGGCGTTGCTTCTTATACTAAAATTATTGAGAAATAACTCAAATGAAAAAAACTTCTATTATCATCAGTCAGTCCTAAGACTGGTTGGACACGTACCTCCACTCTTTCCTATCCTGAGCTAAACTTCGCATTTCCCTAAAACTAGAACAACCTACATCCTTAACTATATGCGAACAGTAATCTAATCTAGGTCTACCTCTACCTCTCCTAACTCCTGTTTCTACCTCTAATATGTCTCTGACTAGACCTTAATGCCTGAGAAGGTATCCTACCAATCTATCTCTCCTATTTTTTATTGACTTCCACAGAGTCCTCTGTTCTCCTATTCTTTTTAGTACCTCGTCATTTCTAACTTTTTCTACCCACGTTATCCTTATCATTCGCCTTTAACACCACCTTTCGAACGCTTATAACCTTTTCTTTTCCGCCGCGCCCACTGTCCATGTTTCGCACCCGTACAACGCCGGGATCCAAACATACACCTTTAATTAAAACTTTACAAAGTGTATTTATTTTATTTGTAATTCATACCATTTTACATCCCTTCCAGGCCACTGACTGACGACGATCTTCGCCTCTAGTGCTTCGACTCCCTTTTTAAAACGTAGGTCTGCTGATACCCTCATCAGTTCCTCCTGTTATTAAATTTTCTCATTTCTAGCAATAGTCTGCCCTATACCTCATACAGATTTAACAATATTTTAAATATTTTTAACCGAGAAGGGTCAAAATTCGACCATAAAGACTAATTTTTCAAAACATGCCGCCTACATTCGACAATGTAATAGGAATAAGTTTGACTATATAGATGTACAAAAAACTATAAAGCTTTTATCATTCCTAATTCCTAATGTAGGTCTGCAATATTTATAAATCATGAAAAGCGAAATTGGAGTATGGCACCTGATCAGGAAAGAAAATTCCATATCCAACTGAGGGCAGGTATATAACCTCTTTGAATAATTAATTAATTAATTAAGATCCTCCTTCAAATAGATTTCAGTTTGAATACAATAGTCGCAGGAAATTTCTATTGATTTACGAATGAAAAGCTCGGATACTTCATTAATAACCGTAATGAATACTGAAGGATTTATTGATGATTTCAAATTTCCTCAACTAAATGAAGGGGGTGGCGTCTGACCGCTGTTAAACTAAATCTAACGAGCGGAAGTGCTATAAGAAATATATTAGGATATAAGGGATGAAACCCCTATATTCCCTACTAGAATGAAAGGATTTCTATCCATTATTCAGAAATGGGAGCAAAATGTGAAAGAACACTTAATTTACTTAATACATTGTAACAGCTCAATTGAAAAGTCCCCGGCCTAAAATAGTAAAACACATTTTTTTTGCAAAATTCGTTTTTTTTATCCAACATAATTCCCTTCAAGGGTGATACACTGATTATATCGATCCTCCAACTTTTCGATACCATTTTTGTAGTACGATTTGTCCTTTGCTTCAAAATAGGCCTCAGTTTCGACGATCACCTCTTCATTCGACGAAAATTTTTTCCCAACGAGCATTTTTTTGAGATCTGAGAACAGGAAGTAGTCGCTGGGGGCCAGATCGGGAGAATACGGTGGATGCGGAAGCAATTCGAAGCCCAATTCATGAATTTTTGCCATTGTTTTCACTGACTTGTGAGACGGTGCATTGTGTTGGTGAAACAGGACTTTCTTTTTCTGCAAATGCGGTCGTTTCTCGGCGATTTCGTCCTTCAAACGGTCCAATAACGCTATGTAATAGTCGCTGTTGATGGTCCTTCCTTCTTCAAGGTAGTCAATGAAAATTATTCCACGCGCATCCCAAAATACAGACGTCATAACCTTGCCAGCCGACTGTTGCGTTTTTGCACGCTTTGCATTTCCCTAAAATTGGAACATCCCACTTTTCCTCTTCCGCCGTTCCTACCGTTCATATTTCGCACCCGTACAGGGATCAATGAAAATTAAAATTTAACTCAATATTTCTAATGATTATTTCTATGCTTTTTTAGAACACATCAACTTTTATTACAAAATTAATCGCCAACAGTGTATTATATATTTTAAGTAATTCAATATTTACTTCAGTTCTTTTTCATATTTAGTTTGATTTATTTTCATTGATTTTGTTTTTTTCCACCACCTTACCTAATTAGTCGTTCTAATTTCCAATCCAAAAATTTTCGAAATAATAGTAGTTACGAATTTCAAAATGATTAGGTAGGTACATTTTATTTATTTATCGTACCTAATGAAAAATTTTAAGAACAACCAAGTTCGGAAAAATATTAAAATAAAATTGATGAACTGCGAACGTTACATTTCCTTACGGAGGGGCTGTAATATCTCGTCCCTCTAAGAAATACCCCTCCCTCCCCTCTATTTGTGAACGTATTTTATGAACAATCACTTTACTTCTCTTGTATGTATCCAACTCCTAATTTATTAAAAACTCGTTTATTACTGATGTGATGATTATATTTTGTTTCAGGTATAATGCAACAAGATAACGCGGAACAAGTAATATTAGACCCTAGGTTAATCGCCAGGCACTACCTGAGGACATGGTTCTTCCTCGATCTCATATCGTCCATTCCCTTAGATTATATTTTTCTTATATTTAACCAAGTAAGTAAAAATTTTTTATTGATACGAAAAACGTTATAATACTAAGTTTCTATTATTTTCCTGTTTTCCGTGTATTAATTAATTAATACAATGTAGAAATCTTCCCGAAATGAGTTAGTATTTTAATATGAAATATTCTCAATGTTTACCCACTACACACTACCTCAAATTAATGAGGAAAAAATTGTTGCTGTCGTCACACCCCCGCTGGGAATCGAACCCGGAGAATATTTCATATTAAAAAATTATATTATCGTTTATTTTTAATTACACAATTATAATGAGATACCAATAGGGAAATTACAGACAGAAGTATTAAATATGTTATTAAATTATAAGCTTGTGCTATATTCTTACGCATTAAAATTCGGTTAGCCATGTGGAAACTATACTAAATAATTGAAATTTCATAATTATAAAAAAACGTTCATTGTGGAAACGTGCTCCTTAAATAGAAAAGTATTTTAAAATTACACTATTAACATAAAGTAATGTGTAACATAGCATCGAGTGTAGCAACGTACAAAGATTCTATACAGTAGGTTCACTTTCCAGTCACGCCCATGCATTCCTTTCCTATCGACGCTTCACCATTTCATTCATCGTGAAGTCACAGTACAAATATATTTTGTGTCTAAACACTTCGATAAAGCTATTGAACCGTACTCGAATATGACAGTTCAACATATATAAAATTATTTTATGATGGCGGTAGTTTAGGCAATTCAAAGGAGTGAACCAACTGTACAGAATCTTTATACTGTGGCCATCCGGAACTTCAAGCTCAGTTTCCAAAGACTCACCTTTGCGTTTCAAGTTGTTAATTTTTAATAGCCGAACTTACTTATTTTCCCTTGAAATAAAGAAAATTCGATCGAAACTTTCCAACTAACTAAGTTAAAAGTTTAAGTGTATAATGTGCCGCTTGTACTACGAATTTTAAGTAGGGCTGGGTACAATGTATTGAAGGAGTTACTGTGTCACTCGGTTTTAGTCGCAGGAACTAAACCTTTGAAGAAGCATGCAATTTCAACTTAATCTCACATAAAATCTAATCTGACGCTATCACGGCTTCCTTGATGAAAAACTTTGATGTAATGTGTACGGAGATTATAACCTTTGAAGCTATGCAAGGTATGAGCATTAAACCTTAAGCCTACATTGCGAAATATTTAAGCAGAGACCGAAGAGTAATGCCAGAGTTTTAGACGAAGATTATGATCGACGGCGGCGACGATTTTCATAATTGTGTAAATGGATTATTGTGTTCGCTGATTTGTTTGTTGCAATTTCATTAGTATCAATAAGACAATTTGCTTTTTAAAAAATTATTGATTTCCTTTCGTCAGCATAAATTATGATAATTCCATAGAAAAATTTAAGCATCTGGTTTACGTTACATATTTAATGCCTTTCTCCGAAAATTTGACATTCCATATCCTTTATCTTTACAGCCGGCATCGACTTTGTTTTTTCTGAATAAACCGTTGAGCACATACTTCGCTCCCGCTTTTGAAACGCGGCTGTTGAATTATTACTCCTTCTACTCACTTAACCCGAGATCGTAAATATCTTATAAGAGTGCGAAGAGAGACAAGGACGTTAATACAGTTAAAAATGTTGGATTTGGGTGTTACCGTTACCACTTACCTTTATATAATACAGCGTGACGTTTTTCACCAAATTCTGCTGGGGGGTACGTTAAAAACAATAGAACAGACCACAAGGCTTTAGCGATGATATAGAACACCTGATGGAAATGGGAAATGTTCAGTACCTATTTTTTTTTAAAGTTATTTAATTGAAAGTCCCTGTTTATCTTCCTTTTACAGAGGAATTAAGTGCATTTCCTTAAATCACCCATTCATAGGTCAAGGTAAGTGTCGAAAAAGACAAAAACAAAACGATAATCATTTACGACGTAATGTGAGACCTTAGTATGTAAAAGCAGGTACAGCAAATGTTGTTCGTTGGTATTAGCATTAGCCGACAGTCGTGGACAAAACTTGTCAACCAGACATTTGCCATGCTTGGTACAGTATTAGAAAATCTTGTGCCAAGCTTGGTCCTATCGTAACTTTCTACATAATCAGACTTCATAATTGTCCCAGCACGTTAGATTTTGAAGTATTTTAGTTCAAAAATCCAAACATTACTGATTCGGTTTGTTTGTATTGGAGATTTAAATATCTTGAAATTTGAATATTTTAAGGAAATCTTGGACCCAGATTCGAGTTCGCCTTTGAAGAATATATCGATAATGATAACCCATTTTGGTTTTTTGTTTTTATTCTGCCATAGCAATGGGCTGTTTTTTTGAGTTCCTCAATAAATAGTAAAGAAAATGAATATGACCGAAATAAGGTCCCAAAAGGGCTGTAGCGCTTTGAAATTAAAAATATCCTAGAAATCAAGGAGCAGTAGAGATATAAAACAGAGGATAGGGCAGGGTCTAGTCGCCTTCAATAAAAGGAAGTCACTTCTATGCTCGCGAACAGTTAAGTTAGAAATTGGAAGATTGTTAAAGATGTATGTCTGGAGCGCTCTGCTGTACGGGTGCGAAAAGAAATGGTTAGGTTTGGTTAGGTTAGAAAGTAGAAGAAGGTAGAAGGTAGAACCGTTCGAAATGTGGTGTTACAGGCGAATGATAACGATACCGTGAATAGAGCAGGTTAGAAATGAAGAGGTAATAGAAAGAATAGGAGAACAGAGGACTCTGTGGAAGTCAATAAAAAAGTAGGCGAGATAGGTTGGTCGGACACCTTCTCAGGCATGAAGGTCTAGACAGAAACATATTAGAAGTAAAACCAGGATTAGGAGGAGTAGAAGTAGATCTAAATTAGATTACTGTTCACAAATAGTTAAGGATATGGGATGTTCTAGTTTTAGCAAAATGCGAAGATTGACTCGGGGCCTATCCTAAAACAGTGGAGTACATGTCCAATCAGTCTTAGGACTGAGAACCATATGATGGTGAAAAGAACAAGTGACCCACGTTGTCCTGCATCATTCCGAATTGTTTCGTTGCTATTAGGTTGGCACGTACAAAAAATATTTTAGTCTATACTTGTAGGTTTATTTTAAAACGTTTTTTTCCTAAATAATAATGCCCGAATATTAAATTTTTTTAAACATTGGATTTAATACTCTACTGGATTTAATAGGATAGCATACATTTGGCAATCGTCACTTTCCTACAATTTATTATATTGTATTTATAACTCAACTACGATAAATTTAAACTTTATATGGAAGCAGCCAAAATAGCGAGAGATTTTACGTTCCAGATAAGCGAATACTTTCAGGGTTCATTTCGACCTTTTCCATGCGCTTAATGAACTACTCTTGTGGGTAATTTATATTCTCCTTCAACTAAGTATCTAGTGCACAGAGTTACTTCATTATGTGCCATTACTTTTTAAACTGCGCTTATAAGTTTACCTAAAGCAATTTTAAACACTTAATGTAGTTACTAAATTGAATTGTATGAATAATAATTAATTACAATTGATAGTACAATAAAGATTCGGGCCATAGGGTCGTGGTATAAATGAACTATTCTGTCCCGACGTTTCGTCGGCTTCTGTGGCTGACATCCTCAATGGTAGTTAGAAGCGTTTGAAATGTGGCGTTACCAGCGAATGATGAGGATACCGGGGGTAGGGGTTAGAAACGAGAAGGTATTAGAAACAGTAGGTGAACAGAGAGCGGTATGGAAGTCAATAAGAAGTAGGCATGGGAGGCTGCTTAGATATATATTAGAAGCGGAAACGGGAGTTAAGTGGTAGACTTAGGTAAGATTACCTTTCACAAATAGTTAAGGATGCAGCTAGCGACATGGCCTAGAGGTTTAGACCATTGACTAGCACTCGGGAAGACGCCGGTTCAATTCTAGGTCCGTCTGCCTTGGTCCAAGTTTTTCTGTGTGTTACTTGAATCACTTAGGCAAATGCTGGGGCAGTAATACTCCATAGATAATCTTTCATTCCCTGCTGTCTTCATTTCGTCTGTCTCATCTTTCTCACCCGAACCAACACCCACCCATTTCCATGATTCCTGAAAGGAGGCTGAAGAGGGCCTTCCGTCCTACCTTGCGGTGTAGTTCGAAGAAATTACTCACCCACCAGCATTGCTGGCTAGTGGGAATGAAACACCCTAAGAAAAAAGAAAGAAAGTTAAGGATGTGGGACGTTTTAGTTTTCTATACAGGAAAGAGTGGAGGTGTATGCGTAACCAGTATTAGGACCGACAACCTTATGATGATGATAATGGTGATGAATTAATACCTAATACACCTTCGAATATCGCATGTTCAACAATAGTTTAATTATTCCTTCGATAAAACAAAGATAAAATTATTATAAAACAAGGAAAATCGACTGCACATTATCATATTAAAATCTGATTTAAGTACGTTGTTGTCCCAATAAAATGATCCCCGCATATTAAATCTCGTGGTTTTGGATATCATTAATGCTGTTTCATTAAAAAAAAGCGCAAGTAAATAAATTTATTTAATGCCTGACTAATCAACTAATATGGTATTTTCTAAGAATAACGGTCACTGAAATTGAAAAGAGCGACATATTCTTCTACGCTTTTGAATGGATTTAATAAAATTGGTCAAACTGATATAATAAAACTGAGTAAGTGCATAGAATGTACCACTCTGTGTTACTATTTGTAATATATTTACAGTAAGTAGTGCAACTACTATAGTATACATGCATACGTATTTTACGACACAAGGCATCTCATAAAATTTTGCATTAACTGTGTCAATGAAAATATAACAGACTTCCAACTAGCACAGTATCGATCCATTAGTATACGACTATATGATGCAAATACAAAGCTTCCAAGTGCCATACATGCATTATAGAGAAAAGTAAAAATGGCGGCGATTTCTCAAGCTGGGGGATTTATTCGTTTCTTTCAACTGATCTGTGTGACTAAACGTCTTTGTTTGATCTTTTTCAAGTGAAACTTTTATATAAACC